CAAGGCATGACTGACATGTAGAATTGAAATGTTTATGAACCGCTTGATTTATCAAATGAGATAAGGAGAGTTTCTTGTGGTTAACTCATTAAACAACTGATAAAGGTCATAAAATATGTATTTACTTCACAGGAGACACGTGAAGCAGCAGCACTTGTCAGAAGAGTTCATGAACAAGAACCATACAGGTCCACAAAAAAGTTTAAATCATGTCATCTGGAACAGTTTATTTGGTCTCCCTTAAATAAACTGGTCCAAATGACATGATTTAACCTTTTTTTGTTGGTATCTACCTGGATGATTGAGCTTACAAACCCTTTTTTTCATCCTACAGGTCTCATGTAATTAAAACATGCAACATTAAAATGTTTCAATCTGAAGTTAAAAAAAATATATATATATATTAATATGTAAAAATCACTAGAATCTTTTATTATTTTGGGTGTTTATATTTTTGTTTTTCTTTTCATTACTGTTAGTCATTTTATATATTCATTTTATTTATTTAATTATTTATCATTGATTGTGTTGGCATTTCATTAAAGTACAAAGAAGCAACCAGAGCTATGAGTACATTAAAGGTCTTAGTCTGGGTCCAGACTCTGCCAACTTGCTCCTACTTTGATAGACTTGGCCTAATAATTATGCAAACATACCCTTTACATTTTACTCAAGTAACAGAGGATGCAGTGGTAGAAAATTTTTAGTTTTTTTTTATGATACTAATAAGAATCACCACATTTGTACACCTTTGTTTTACTACAGTGTGATTGTTAACTTCTTTGTATGTGCATTTAAATGTTCTGAATGTGGACAAGCAGTTATTCAATAAATGTCCCTTTCACACTTCTCTACTGTTTTTCAAATTGTGATAATAAATCGGTATGAAGATGCAAAGTAGATTTGTGTCCTTTGATGAGTTTGGGCACATTTTAATGAACACAGAAATTACTTTTACACCTCTCTTAAAAACAAGAAAAATAATAAACCTGCTCTTAGAGTCATTCTTTTAATTAGTCTTCAAATAAAATGCACTTTTCTATGATGGTCTCTGAAATATACTATACCTTATTGCGCAACACAGGGACCTAAATATTGTGTGACACATTAATCTAATATTTGGCTACGCCAGTTAGAAACTCAGCTACTTAACTTAAGTTGTTGAGATAATGCTTACATATATGCATCAGTCATTTCATTGAAATAAAGTACCGTATTTTTCAGACTATAAGGTGCACTTAAAATCCTTTAATTTTCTCAAAAATTGACAGTGAGCCTTATAATTTTATGTATTAAAATTTTTATGTTGGGTTTACTGACATCGAACTGATTTTATGTGGTACACGGCGCTCAAACATCTGTCAAAATGAACTTGTTTCGCTTAATGCGCCTTATAATCCCAAAAATACGATAAACAGTTTGAGATCAGTTATGTTAGAATAGTTTACAAATTATTAACACTTAGATTCTTTTCAGAATCATGGAAATTAACAGCAATTCTGGCTTAAACCAACACAATTTACTGTAATTTGTAAAGTGTGAATGCTCATCGTGGACTTTGATCATTTTTATTGCAAGAAATGTTGATATGATTGTGTTTGTTGATCTCTAAATCAGTAGCTTCTTGCAAAAATATATGTTTATTTTCCAGTAACTGAGCAGTGATTTTATTTAAACATTGTTTTTTTTTTTTTATAAATTGGGGGGATAAAAACTTTACAAGAACAGAAAGAAAGTCCTAACAGGTAGTTTTTGCTTTAGTCTTTTGCTTGAGGCTGTAAAGCAGCAGAGATAATAATAAAAAAAAATAAAAAAAAAACATCTTTGAACTGTGATGTAGTTCTTTCTATTTCTACACTTTTTTTCAGCTCGTCCAGATGCATTTGCTGGCATTTGTTCAATTTAAATCAATTTAAAACACATTTCTTACCTTATGAATAGATTTTTTTAAAAATATATCTTTACTTTCACTTTACTCTGATAAAATGAAATGCAAAAAGGGAAAAATAAATTCACCAAAAATGTAATGAATCATTGTTTTTCCAAGTATATTCAGTTTCACAGCTAACAAAATTAATAACTTTCAGAAACCTAAGGTAGGATAGAAAAAATGATTTAAGATGTAGTGGTGGGGAAGCAAAAAAGCTAAAAAAAAATAAAATAAAAAAAGTTAAACATTTATAATAGAAATAAATTAAAGCTGTTAGAAAATCCAGCACAGCATTGTGAAATGTTTTTTTTTTTTTTTCAAGCATGAGCGTTGATTGTATGACCATAAGATAAGAAGTGTGATGGATCAAAGTTCTCTGGCTTATTGGATCAGAGGGAAGAATCATTTATTATTTTATATATTGCCATAAATAAAGCGTAGGCATAGTTTTAGCAGTCACTGGGGCATCAGGAGGTTGTAATTTAAAATTTGTATGTGTAAATTTTTGTCACAGCCACAGACCTGGTGATGACAGCATGTCTAGGGGCCTCACATCTGTCAGCATTTTCCATCTGCTAGTCTGCTGTCAATTAACCCCTGACAAAAAAAAATAAAACCACAATTGGCTCTACTGGCAAATCAATCAGGGAAAAGTGCAAACATTGCTGGAAAAAAAAAAGTTTTATTGTTTACAGGGAAATAAATACTCATTGTGTGACAGGTTAATTGTTTTGTCTCACGTTCCATTTGCCAACTGTTGTCCATGTGGCGTTTTCAAACATTCACGAGACACAAAATATACAATAAGTATTTAAAATAGAATCTAATTATGACTTTTGAACATTTGTAACATTACAAAGTTGGATTAATCTGAGTTAAACATTTTAATTCGCTATTACGAATGAAAAAGTCTAGAAATAAAACTATATTAAGTGCAATATTGAGCATGCATCAGGATATATTAAGTGCAATCACACTCGTCCAGCTGGTGGCGATATTGCACCATATTTGTAGTTGTCAATGGTCTCGGAACTAACGAAGAAGAAAAGCCGGAACCAGCAACATATTCAACGTTTCCTGCCGACGGTATTTTGTGTGAGGACTAACGGACATTTATTCGCACTGAAACTTTACTTTTTGTCATATTTCTTTGGTTTTATTGGTAGAAATAATGGCGGTACCTGGTATGTACCTATTTTTTATAAATCATAGTTAATTTTGATGATAATTTGTTGTAAAATTAAAGACTTACAGTTATGTAAAGTGCAGTTAACCTTTCCAAACACTGGAAAGGAAACACTGAAACGTCCATCTTAAGCGTTCCAGTTATTTATTTATTTATTTTATTTCAACAATAAACCTTTTACTAACATGTGCATTATACATTTAGGGCACGACTGATATTTCCTGGTAAATATCTGTCCTGTAGATGCAGTATAAGTAGAAGCTAAGCTGTGATATCAGAAGTTACCTTCACTTGCATGTACTTGAACATGAGCCCATCGTCATTTGACTAAATCATGTTGTCATAAGATAACATCATATGTCTATGGACATGTTTTAACATTTAAATAATTTTACTCACATTTTTACAGCTGCTAACAAGGACAATATCAGAGCTGGGTGCAAAAAATGTGGATATCGTGAGTAAAAGTACTTTTTGTGTGTGTGCAATTTTAAGTTTTATGATAATGTAGATTGTAAGTCATTCAGAACATGGTAAATGTTCTAAATTACTATGTTTGGTTCCTTATTTAGAACCACTGTGTTTCTCTTAGACTAGGTAAAAAAGAAAAAATATATAGGCAAGGTTTTGTAGACTCTGTGCCAGTCCATTGTGGTGAAGAGGGAGCTGAGCTGTAAGGCAAAGCTCTCTTAATTACTGGTCATCTGCGTTCCTACCCTCACCTTTGGCCACGAACTCTGGGTAGTGACCGAACGAATGAGGCTGTGGATACAGATGGTTGAAATGAGTTTCCACAGTGACAAATTGATGTCTTGCTTATCAACTTTAGCAGCTGGTTGCCAGTAGAGCTTTCTTCCCAACTTGTACAGATCTAGGTGAAAAACAAACAAACTGTTTTTACTTTGCCTTTTAAACCACAGGAGGAGGCAAACTGTGGACATTTTCAATGAGAATATGACATTTCGGTAACAAATGTGTAGGTAATAAGGTTACATTTATGTTTGGCTTACATCAAAATAAAGGTAGAGACTGTTTAAACTACACTTTAGATCCAACAATTACAATAAATATTGAGTGTATTCTTGAATTGATTCTGCCTTAATATTATGTGTATGTGTCTATAATTGACTTTGTCCTGGATTGTTAAATATCTTTACCAATTCAGAACCTCTGAAGCCTGATAATTCATCATTGATCTTGCTTCTGTTCCTCAGCGGGCCATTTAACGTTTGAGTGTCGAAACTTTGTCCGAGTCGACCCACAGAAAGACATTGTTCTGGATGTGAGCAGCACCAGCAGTGAGGAAAGTGAAGATGATGAACCTGTTCCTCAACATCGAGTGAAACTAGGACGAGGTGGTCAGCAGCACAAAGGTCAGGCACCATCCTAAATAGACGATTTGATTTGTCAAGTCAAAAGCAGAAAATCTTGATGGATTCTTAATATTTTTATAAATGCATGTCAACAGTTGTTGTTGGCTTTTATAATATCAATAAATAAAAAATGATCTGACATATTTGATACGAATGTAGCTAATTAGAGTATAGTTCAATTACAAAGTTTGAAGATTAAAATCACAGTGACTCTTTTATTACAAACGTTGCAATCCTATAAATGACCCTTGATGATTTTCAAATGCTTGGCTGCTTGTTTTATACCAACACTGACATTTTATTTTCTTAACTTGTTAGAGTCCCGTGATAGTGAAGATAGAAAAAAGAGACCAAAACGAAAGAAGAGTAAGGACAGAAAGTCGAGAAAAAGGTAATGTTTAACTTTTAAATTTCATTATTTGTCACGGTGAGGCTAGAGTTTTAGGTATTATTGAATAAATTCATGAAAAAAAAAAATTCAAATATTAATTTTACTAGTAGTTAAAATTAGACTACTAATATGTTGTTCTGTAAATGTGTTCACTTGCCTCAAAGATTTGAAATACGTTCACAAATTGTATTCACTTTAGCATTAACACCAGGTTCTTTTGACTTTTTATCTAGATCCCATTCATCGTCAGGAGATGAGGAAACCAAAAAGAAGAAGAAGCGAAGCAAATCGAGCTCCTCGTCGGACGAAAAGGAAAAGAGAACCAAAAAGAAGCAAAGCCACAAGAAGAAAAGCAAGAAGAACAAAAAAGAGCATGGAAAGCATCACAAAAAGAGAGATAAGAAAAGGAAGCACAAATCTTCATCCTCTTCCTCTTCCAGCTCAAGTGATACCTCAGAAAGTGACTGATCCAGCAAACACTGCAGCTTCTGGTTGTCTGACGTTAGTTCAGATATTCAAACGTTATGTATTTTTTAATGCAGCTTCTCATCTTGTTTCATTTAGGTGTCAGTGCCTGCTACCACAAAGCGTCATTGAATATTATAAACCGAGCGTTTTTACTCTGTATGCTGCAGACAGGCAGCCGTCCTGCAGATGATAACGATGCTGCACATTTTCAAATACAGGCATGAAACCAAGCAGCATCTTCTGATTAACTTGTTCCTTTTGTCTTCATTTATTTATGCTCTTTATTATTGTTTTACATGATCGGAACAATTTAAAAGGTTAGATATGGATATTACGCTCATATTTAGGTTATGTAAAAAAATCTGCAATTGTCATGTTACATTGTATTGTATTGTCATAGAACTCAGTTTCTTTACAACTTCTAATGAAACTATTAGTAACTTAAAAAGCTTAGGTGTTTTTGCATTATAGATTTGCTGGTCTTTCTTCAGGGTATCTCTATTTAGGATGCAAATGTCAATTTTTTGTTTGTTTGTTTTTTGTATTTCTATAAATAATTCACTTGTCAATATGAGAATATTTGAAGTATTAAAAAAATACTAAAGTTACTAAAAATCAAACCTTTTTACTACGTTGTTTCCTATTGGTCATCTTGATCCTTTAATTGTAATAAAATATATATTTGCTTTACTGTGTCCAGTTCGGATTTGACAACATCTAATGTAACTTTAAAAGCACTTTATGGAAAATTGGATGAGAAAATCGAGCTAATATAGAAGTGTCCGCTAGAGGGCAGCAACATACTGCATATATGATGTCTACACAGAACAAGAACTTAAAAAATGTGTTTTTATTTGGTTTTTAACAGTAAAATTGATTTAATCTAGACGGGGAAAAATGCAAAAAGTACAAAAATAAAACTTTAAATTAATTTCCTAAAACAGGAAAAGCATGTCAACACGATAATTATTTTGTCTTGTTATAGCCTACAATATTAAACAAAAATGCTGCTACTAGAAACACATTTTTAAAAAGTTGAAAAACTGATCTAAAAAAATAAAATCTGGAATTAACTTTTAGTTGAATCTGGAAGTATGAACTTTTAGCCCACCTAGTGTTCAGACTGTGAACACATTAACTGAATCACCCCAGCATTACTGTACCTGTAGTGAAAACAGGCCAACAGACAGAAGTGATGATAACGTTCTTGACTGTTTTTGCTTTGCCAAGCAATCATTTTTTGACGCTCATCGTCAGCTCTGCTTGCTGATGGAAGAACCTCGTGTCAAACATCAATCTGACTTCAGCTACATTTGGAAGGAATTCGTTGAACACAAAGAGTCTTTTGTATCAAACTCACAGGGAGGTCTGATCCATGTCTTCAATCAATCATGCACCCATTTTCCACCTGGAGAATTGAACAAGATGATGCTAATCATTCAGTTTCAGCCGCTTAGGAAGAGTCGGAGAAAACAAACTTTTTTTTCATGCCTGAGGCCAAACTTTCTTCACCTGCTGCCTTGAAGTATTTTACCCAGGCAGGGGAATTTTGATGCAGTTTGTTGGCAAAATAGGACACAGCTCTTTTAAGTAAATCAGTTTTATTTGTGCACATCTATAAAATATAAGTAACCTGCAAACTTGCATAAATTGAGATTAATGGCATGGAAAGGGAGAGCTTTTCCATAAATATTTTTGAGTTATGAGCACAAAAGCATATAAAATCATATTCCTTTCCTAATTAGACATTATTTCTCCTCTGAAACTCGTATTGTTGGCAGGACTTTATCTCAACTATCAGTCTCTTGTGGTTATTTATTTTAAATTATTGTTCCCATCACTCTGCCTCTGTGGTGTCAAAAAGCTGCAGAAACAGCAGATTGCCCGTGTCTACAAGAAGAAACATGGATTTTTGGACGACCTCATACTTTTCTCAATCTGGGCTCAGTGACAGGTGTTTATAAATAGGCTATTAATTGTACTTCGCCTTGGGGAACAGGGATATTTTTCCAGATAGTTGTAACATCCTGACAGCAACATCCATGGCCGCTGTTCAGAACCTGACATTCAAATGAGACGTATACCACTCCTTTTTTTATTTTTTTTTCTTTCCCAGGACTTAAAAGCAATATTTAGATACTGCTGAACATGTGGCGAGGACAGACATGCAGTCGATAAAGTTTACTGTAAGTTGTGATGTTTGATTTCAAGGGGAGCAGCTTAAAACATGTTCTTATTTGGACTCCTTGGAAAAATCCTTCAAGGACAAATGTTGAAATCCAGAAAATCTAAAAAAAAAAAAAACACAAATCCTGATCAGTTTGCTACTCATTCATTCAACCTTTATTTATACAGGTTAGTCTCACTGAGCCTCGAGGACTCATTTACAAGAGAGACCTGTTTTAAACAAAGAATGATAACAGTAGACAACAGTAGACCATCATAAAAGAAAGCATATAAATTTAAAAAATTAATAAATTGAAGAAGATGATATAAAAAAAAACATTATAAAGCAATATAAAATACTAAAAACAGGAACATGTCTGCATTGGTTTTTGCCATGAACTTAGCAGATGTTTGAAGCCACTTGGAGAACAAGGTCGAGAGCTTCAGATCTTTTTGCAAGATATTCCAGGAAACAGGAGCAGAGTAGGAGAAGGCCCTTTTGCCTAGTTCAGTCCACACTGAGGGGACACTGCATGTAATAATGTCCTGAGAGCGCACGCTGTAACTGCACTCACACAGAGACATGTAGGAGGAGATGTATGAAGGCAACAGAACGAGAAGTGATTTAAAGGTGAAAATGTACCAGTGGGAGAGTTTGTGTGAAGTTAATGATGACCAGTTAACCAGTGAATACAGGGTGCAGTGGTGGGTATGGTAGTTACAGTCAGTTATGACTCTTAGTGCACAATGATAGACAGCATCCAACATCTGCAGGGTGCTTGTATGAGTGTTCATGTAAATAATGTCACCGTAATCAATGGAAGGGAGAAAAGTTGCAGTCACAAGGCGTTTAGCTTTCAGATTTCAACAGGATCTATTTCTGAAAAAAGAAACCCAATTTAGCTTTCAGTTTCTTTACCAAGTTTTCCATATGAAGCTTAAAAGAGAGATGCGAATCAACCAAGATACCCAAATATTTGTAGGTATCAACAAACTCAATAGGAACACAATTTGAAGAAAAAATCGAGGGAAGAACTGCTGGGACTGACTTCCTGTTTGAAAACAACATCCCATTGGTTTTGTCAGCATTTAGCACCAGTTTGAGACAGAACAAATCTGACTGGATGATGTCGAAAGCAGACTATAAAAGTTGAACAACCTTGGCAGCTGTTTTAGCTTGACAGTAAACAACTGTGTCATCAGCATAGAAATGTAATGATGCATCAGGGATGCTCTGACCTACATTACCTATGTAGATTGAGAAGAGAGTGAGTCCTAAGACTGAGCCTTGTGGTACACCATTGTTAACCATTAAATAACTGGAAGAAATACCATTATGTTGAACACATTGCCTCCAATCTGAGTGAACCAACCAATAGTATAATCTCAGAAACCAATTTCTGAGAGCTTATGACATAAGATGCCATGATCCACAGTGTCAAAAGCTTTAGACAGGTCTAAGAAAACTGCAGCACAATAATCCTTAGCATCCACCTCACAGAGATGAAAACTTAAATGATGGAGAAGGTTAATAGTTTGGTAAATGCATTTTTTAACCAATTTTAATTGTCTTAAAGCGACCAGAACATAAATTTAAATAATAATTTTGCATCATAAATAATAATGTACACAAAAATTCAAAAATAAAATTTAAAAACCTAATTCCATCTCTCAGGATGTTACAGAAAACCACATCGTTCTAAAGTTTTGGCTGAAAGAAACTTAAAGGAGTAACTTTAACTGTGCAGATGGTCCAGAGGACAACCTGAGACGGAAAAGCAAATGAAGTTGAAGGAGTGCTGCCGTGTGCAGCCGCACTGAGCAAACCATATGCTGTTTGTATAAGACAACAGCTAGAGTTTTCTGTTTGTATCAGCTCATTGGTTTTTATTGCATCTGAAAATGAGACTCCACTGAGCCGTTTAAATGGAAATGAGATGGTCAAACTCGTCGCACAGAGCTTAACTGCAGCAGAACGGCAAAAGCACCTCTGCAAAAGCAACTTTGCAGCACGGATGTCAAATTTCAAGTAAATTTGTTCCGCTAAACAATGGCTGACCTGAGTGGCCATGAATGTTCTCTCAGCATCAAAAGGTGTGTTGTCATTTTGTTCGCAAATGAGCTTTTTGTAAGTCTGTAAACTACATTTTCTCTCGTATCTTAGATTTAATTTCTTGTCTCCTCTTCTGGCTTTGAAATTGTTACCAGTGCAGTGCATCAGAATCTTCACCAGCACAGTGCAGTACAGTAATCGACCTGCAGGAGAGATAGAAAGCAAACATGACCTCAATCAAAAGAGGCTGTAATAAACACTGTATAGCTTTACAGGAAGTGGGTTCAAGATTATTTCTCCCAAAATGAGCAGGTCAGTTCATGGTCCTTGACATGTTTTTTTTTTATTTTTTTTTTTACAATTTATGATCTCAAGTGGACTAACATTTTTATTTATTATAAATGCATTATTCCTGAAAGTACTTCCAATCATTTGAAACAATGTTCTGGTTCATCTGTGCTCCCCCAAACATTTGTTATTTAAAGGTGATTTTTGACATTTCAAAGATGAGATCATTAAATGCACCATAATAGCAGGTTTAAACAGAAGCAACTCAACTGAAGACTTTAAAATAATTATCTGAATCAATACCAAGTATGAACTGGAGTATTTTTGCTCCTCAGCTTAGTCACGCTGGAAGCAGAAGTTGCCCACCAGAAATAAAACTCTTCTCCCTTGATGAATTGAATATATTTTTAAAGAACAATATCATTCTTATTTGTAAGGTTTGGGTCTATACCCAGATGTTATGTGAATGAGAACAACGACTTCAGAACCAGGAAGAAGTTTTAACAGTGTTTATTTACAAAGTGCATATTAATGAACAGTGTATCGTGGGACCTGGACAGGAACCCTGGAGAGTAAAGGACAGCATCAATGAGAAACTCCTCTGGGAGGTTGGTGTTGGTGTTCAGGCTCTTACTTTAATCAGGCAGGGTTGTTGCAGGGTGAAATCCAAATGGTTCCAAAGAAGCCTTAACGTAGGGTAAGTGGTGGAAGGTAGGGAACATCTGGAGAGATCATGAATTGTAAATGGACTGTACTTATATATCGCCTTTCTATCTTATCGAGACACTCAAAGCTCTTTACAACA